AATTATGAAATTAATAATAATTATTAATTTACCAGCCAAGAGATTAAGCAATGGTGAAACATTTAACATTTAAAGTAAAATATTACTGGAAAACCAGAAACATTACTCTCCTGAAGATGATTGAAGCAACTCAATCGAAACGTTGAGACTTTCTCAACTACAACAATTCTTTTTAGAACTACCTACGTGGTATACCGCAAGCTCCAACATCTTATTACATCACCTTCAAACAAAACCAGATACATGTTATTTTTTATATTTGGCCATAAATACAAATGATAACCAGCGACTGTGACATTCAAAACAAACATATATTAGGTTTCATATAAATTTATAGTCATTTATCTTTCTTTATGAGGATTATTTATTTGAAGAGTCTCGTCGTCGTTGAGTAGGTCAAAGAATATTTGAACTCATCATTACTGGTGGTAATTGAAGCCAAGTTTTGGAATCAATAAAAGTATAGCATAGTACAAAGCTTATACTTAACAAAGGCTTTGAGCTATTAGTACAGTTTTTTTTTTGTTTTTTTTTTTAAAGTCTAAACCTTTGTATAATGTAATCTTGTGTAATGGTGCATAGCATTATTTAGTTCCCTGTTTTTTGTGTCATGTGGGGCCATTGTTATTCAATACATAGATGCCACACCTTCATATAATGTTTGAGGCATGTCTTGGCGAAATGGTTAAGTTGTCGCACAGGCCAGTATTGAGTAAATGAGCTATAAAATATGGGGGAGCTCAAAAAATTGCCTAAAACTCCAAATTTTGTTTTCACTATAGATCAACAGTTTAATGTCTTATTAATCATGTCCCAAAGTATTAGTTCTGGAAGTGGTCAACAAACTGTTTATTTAATGTTATTTAGATAGTTAATTCTATTAAACAATGTATGCAGAAATAACTTTGGAAGGCAATTACTCAAAATCATGTTTATCTTGACTCTAAGAGTGCTATACTTTCACTTTTCAATAACTTAGGCTTGAAAAGTCCCATTTCAATGAATGACCCCTCATTTTAAAGATCAAATACTCGGGTATCTGAAAATACCAATATCTTGAATTTCAATTTTTGCTACAACTTAGCCATTTTGCCACAACATGCCTCATTTTTTTTTAACCAAACTGAAAAAAAGAAGTATTGCTGTAGCTATCGAGGGTCAGTTCTATGGAATAGTCTACCATATGACATTTGACCTGCACCTACTTTGAGTTCCTTCAAGATCAAATTGTTAGAGTAAATTCATGGTAATCAAGACCTTTTGAAAAACAACTGTTTATATATTTATGTATTTTAAAACGAACAAATATTGGATTAAAATGAAAAAACATTCCTTCATTTATTGATCTTTTAGTGAAAACTGCATTTAGGCACATTATCGGTTTCCCACAAATAAAATAGACGAGCGGTACTGGGAAAGACAATTTGATTTCTTGCTTCGAACAAGGTATCCATTTGTAGAAGTCTTATGAAGATAAGCCTATCCAAAGTGAACATAAAATGGTCGAGGACCAGGATATACCTTCGACAATAATAATAATAATAATAGGCCTTAAAACTAAAAAAATGTAATTTAAAAATATGCTTAATGAATGTATGATTAAAGTATAATCATTTAATTATGAAAAAAAGGTAAAATATAAAGGAAGAATAGGAAAAAAACAATAATAATGAGTTTGTCACAACATGACCATAATATAGGCACATCATGACAATTGCAGGGGCTTAGACAGAAAAATGAAATAGGAAGCTGATGCATCTTCATCTCTCGCCTTGGTTTAGTGTAAATTCTACTCTAGATCCTTCGAATCGTGAGATAGACCTAGACCTAAGTCCTGTAGTTTGTTGACTAATAAAATTTAACTTGTGAGGTTAACAACAAATCTTCTTTACGGTATTTCATGAATTAATTATAACCAGAGAGTTACGAACACCAACAATATTATGTCGAGAAACCTAATCTCAAGTATTGTATTTAAAGGGCCACGTGTATGCGTTGTTGGTGACTCACAACCGTCCATTTCACCGGAGGGTTAAGCCTTAAATTTTTGGGAATCCCCACCGAATATTGAATATGAAAACAATGTGCATTCAATCAACAGATGTGGTTTTTATCAAATGTAAATATGATCTAGCTTTTAGTTTAATGTTAACATTTGATAGATTTGAAGAATATAAGGAATTTGCTAATGGCAGACCAGGCCCCGTTAGGCTAGGGTGAGCTGATCTATAGGCCAAGACATCACGATAAAAGTAGCCGCCCTAAATAATTGCTGGCTGTCCTAAAGACGGCCGAAAGGCTTGCTAGCTAAGCCTATGATATATGGGCATATAATAGTTTTTTGGTTTTTTTCAAAGAAATTCTGATAAGCTGGACAGAACTTTAAATATAGTAGTAACCATTAAAATGATGATGAAATTCAGCCCTAAAACTTTCTATGACAAAATACTATTGTATGGCCATGATGTGCCTATATATGGTCATGATGTGATGTCATCATGACATGACATTATTTGTTCAGGTGAAGTGAATGACATCCTCAATTTTTTTTAAAGCTGATTAATTATTGGGTTTCATGCCCGTCAACAGCCTATCATCCCCTCCGAAGCCCTGTCCCCACTATCAAATTTGTGTTATGTGCCCATATATGGACATAATGATTTTTTTAAATACCCAAATATGGTCATATCACATTTTATTTGTTACATAACATTTGATATTGTGGACAGAGCATAACCCTGATGCCTTAAAAATAATGTTATGTTAGCGTAACATGACCGGCCGTAAAAATTGGCCGACCCTAGACATTTTTATACTTATTTCACAATACAACTTTATGTGAGCAAAGTGGGCGTGGTCGGATGTCACTCAAAATGTTTCGAAAGTGGGTCAAGGGCGAAAAATATGGCAATTAGGGACTTATTTAATTGGTTATATAGATTTCAAGGTCATTGTGACAGTAAAAAAAAAAAATCCCTACCTACCCTATATTTTGGGGCCTGTTATGCCAATATAACATTTGTTTTTTTAAGCCTAAGATTAAATTCTGTACTGGGAACACTACATATAATTTTTTTTTAACTTCAGAAGTCAAATAATGGTTGTAAATTTGTTTACCGTAAAAGAGATAGTATTCTACCTAAATGTTTACAGCATTAAATTGTACAGGGACAATTATATAGGTTTTGTAAATTTCGTTTTAGCATAAAGGGGATACAGTTGTCAATTGCACACCGCACTGATCCCTTATCAGTGACTCATACTTCACAGTTGTGGATTAGAGAAGGGGGGAATATAGGTTCCTGCACCACTAAATATAGAACCTAAATCATGCACCATCGTGACCCTGTCATCTGCGTATGACGTGTTTCTTATTTTTGTCTAATGGTGTGTTTCAATAAAATGAGTGAGGACAAGTCATAAGATATCATATAGGCTCCGTATTTTGAAATATATGACAAGGGGCTGTTTACTGGGATACTACTGTACTGTTGATAACATGAAACCATGGATTAGAATTCGACTTGGGTGTGTATATTTTATTTTTTATCATTTTTTTTGTTGGTAAATCAGGTGTAATGTTTATAGTTATTTATCTACAACTTTTCTAAACTAATAAATATTTTATATTATTACCTGTTAGTATGATACACAATTTTTAAATATTTTTATTCATTTATTTATTTTTTAATGTTGGGATATCCCTGGCTACATGTGGGCTTGCATATGTGCTTAAAAACTGAATTATAATTTATTATTATGTTTTTATGTTTTTATTTTAGAGAAATGTATAATTATATGCACATTGCCATGCCAATGCTTTAGGAATTTTAAGTGATGCTGTATAAAATAATAATAATAATAATATTGAATATTAATAAATAGTTACTATTCATATTGAAGTAATAATCTCCCATAATTTCCCTTGTGACAAGCCAAGCCCCCATGTTGGATGCAACTCATCAAACCAAAAACGACAGACCAAATATTTCTCATTTTTTACTAGTCAGGGATTATAGCCACCCCCTGCCTCATAATTCACACTCCTAGTGGACAACTTATCCCCTGCCTCCCTCAGGCATATATCCCAGTGTTACCACTGGTGCAGCATATGAATTTGAAGGGTGGGATTCAAACCCCAACCCAAGGCTAAAACAGTAACTGCTGTGTCATTGGGTCCCACTATTTGCACCCTTTGTCTGAAGCTGCTAAACTGTACCATTTAAATAAACAAACCATTTCTAGAACCATAACTTAGGACAGAAAGATCAAATGAATCAGAAATATGATACTTGGTTTCCTTGGTGATGCAAGTTTTGTATGTTTTTGTCATAAAAGTCGATGTGATTTAAGAAAGCATTACCAGAACTTTAGATGGGTTTCTCATCCGAGGGACACTCACAATGTCTGGATCTGACTGCAACACTTGGACCAACTGGGCTCCTGATAGCATATACTTGGTGAAGAGCTATATTGTGGCTTTCTTTGTATATAGAACAGTACTTAGTTAAGCATTGAACTAGCTATGTTAGGAGAGACTTTTAAGATTCCTTGTTTTGCGAACTTATTGTTTTAGAGCTCATCAGAAAAGAGCAGTAAAAAATTAAAAATAAAATTTTGTTTTCTTATTTAGCAAATTTTCAAGCACTTCATATAACCATTCATCACATGTATATTTCAATATAATCTTTTCATAATGAAATTATTATTATTTTAGATTTCAGATACACTGGCAGAGGTCCCAAGTTGGGAGAATCCAGTTGTGGGAGACCCGACTTGATAATTTCTCTTTCGCACATCCAATTGTAATTTGCTATGGGTGGTGATACCATTGAAAAACAGTTGTAAAAAAAAACAAATATTAAAACATACCAAAAGAAGGGACCTGTAGATTCCAAGAGATTTTTGTTGGGAACGATTGACAAATTTTTTTCACGTGTTCTTATTTTACATTGATTTTATTTTATTATAATAGTATTCTTATTTCATTGTCTTTTCAGTCATACTCATATAGCCAGTCCATATCATCAGTGTAGTCCTACAATTATGAAACAGGTAAGATACTTTATTACCATACCGTAAAACCTTGAAATGAAGCCCTGGGATGGGCTTCTTTTCTGGGATGGGCTTCTTTTTGCGGCTGCTTTTGGGAAGTAAAGAGGTTGGGGGGGGGGGGTTAGCCTTCTTTTCAGAATGAATGCTGTAAATTTTGTGAGTTTGTATTATAAAACAATAAGCAAGGCCACTATAACATCAATCTGTATCATGGATTGTATTTAACTGGCATTAACTTGTTTTTTAATTTATTTTTTTGAAATTCATGTACAGTGTTATGTACTGTACTATCTCGAAATGAAGCCTATACTACATTGAAAAGAAGCTCATGGGCTTCTTTGCGAGATGGGCTTCTTTTCGAGGCTAATTTTGCAAACTAAAGAGAGGGCTTCAATTCAAGATGGGCTTCATCTCGAGGTTTTACGGTACTATAGTTTCTCATGCATTAGTCACTCCATACTCCATGAGATAGTCGCTTTGAGCTACAGTGTTGCAAAATTGCAATGTAATTTAAAAAGTGGATTTTGCGGTACAAACACCCACCTCACACCTTCCCTCCCCACCCCCCAAAAAAAAAAAAAGTGACCCAATTTTGTTTTCAGTGGAAGTTATTATACCTTAGGAACTGCAGTAATATTTAATATTTATGGACTATTCACTTCCTGTTCGCATGCATAAAACAAACAAAAAAAACTCGATCATTTTAATATGTAAAAGTATGCAAAATAGAGGAAGAATGTAAAGTCCTGATAAGATAGGAAACAAATCTGTTGGGAAAAAAAGAAACATAAAGGAAAACAAAACAATGACCAGAACAGGAATAGACAAGGCACAAATCGACAGAAAACCAGTGTGACAAAACACAACAATTCTGATTCAGACCTTTTGGTATAGCCTTGTTTTTTTTTCAGTGTTTTACATAAAAGAACTACTGTATTGTAGTTTTTATTTAATAATTAATAATAATGTCCCCTAAATTAAGATGACACATGATTAGGGATGTCCTATTTAGTAGAAAGGCCCATTTCCTTTACTTTATAGTACTTTGTAGTACTGAAATTCAATTCTTAAATAGTACTGTAGTAATAATTAACATTTCAAGAAAACAGTATGGAACTGGAAATTTACCTTAAATTTGCATTTTAGTTTCTCCAAACATCATATAATTGTACCCGATTACAGTGATTAGCAAGGTTCACTGAGAAAAGAAAGGGACTTACCCTAAATTTAACCTGAATAGAAGAGTGTAGTGTACATTTGTATATCGTACAATAACAAAGAAGTGACTAATTCTACTACACAATGGGGATAGTATACCTTGCACACTTTAGAAACCAGAAATCAACTCGTAAAAACCTTCACAGAATTTATTTTTGTAATTCAATACAAATAATAAAAAAATCATCTTTAAAATGTTGGTAGGATTATGAGAATGACAATCAAAACTGTAAAGTTCTTTTAAATAATGTGTTTTAAAAATTCAGTGGAATTCCTCTTGTGTACTTGACAATAGTATTTTGATAAGCAGGAGGACACTTTTGATGTTTATATAGACATGTTGTCTCTAGTAACTCATGACGAGTTGTTAAGTCCACGTTTGTTATCTCAGTTCACTGTAACAAACAATATAACTTTTACTGTATGTTCTTTGATGGTTTTAATATAGTAGAATCCCTATTGAGGGGACATATTTTCAGTCCTGGAAGGTTAATATAGTGTTAAAAGGATATACTTTTCCCAATCGTTTTGTGGTTGAATAAGTGTCCCTTTAGAAGGGATATCCCCTTAATAGGGATGTTCCAATGGAGGGTTCTACTGAACATGCGGGGCAAAATATGCTTATAAAAATATACGTAAAATTTATGCAGAAATATTTCACTATTAAAACATGGATCATAATTATTCCAATGAATAAGCTAATTTGTTAACAACTTGATTAAATTTTTTGTTCAGACAGTTTTTATAGAGGAACTTACATCTAGAATAAACTTCTTGGGTGCGTGTTCCCCACGTCCCTCCAACTCCCTCCCATTCCCTTCCAACTCCCTCCCATCCCCCTTATAACTCCCTTCCATCCTCTTCCCAACTGCCTCTCATCCCTCTTCCTAACTCGTCCCATTTGTTTCCTATCTTACTCCCATCCCCCTTCCAATTCTCTCCCATTTCCTCCCAACCCTCCTTGATGCCATTGCATGGACCATAGTGTCAAATCCAGCCTTAGTTAAGCCAGGACTTTTAATACATTTTTGGCAGTGCACAAATACTTGCACTTTCATTCCTTGCATTTTTGTCTAAAGACAAAGACCTTGCAAGATGAAGATCAAAATACACTAAACAAAGAGACAAAAACATGTGACATATGCTCTTGATGATATCACATCATGACCATATTTAGGCACATCATGACTATATATGGGCATACAACAGTTTTTTGTCAAAGAAAATTGATAATCTTGACAGGCGTTGCACTAAATGAATTAATTCAGTAGTAGCAGGTGTCCAACCAGAAGCATAATTGGCTACGTTCAGGTAAAGTTCTGGTGTACCACGGAAAACAATCATTCCTCATAATTACTGTACTTTACAATACATCTGTGGATGAATGAGTTGTATTTTGAAAGTCAATGTACTATTAAATTTCCTACATTGCTATAGTACAGCCAGTCAGTATGTGTCAGGACAAATACGATACAACTAAATACCTATTTTTGAATATCTAGGTTATTATTTTCAATTTAATTTTAGAAGCAAGAACCCTTCTTTAGATTCTTATTTTTACTGAGCTGTGGAAAAGCCATTGTTTTTGGTCGGATTATTTTTTTTTTCATTGTAAACTCCTTATATGGGCATGGTGATGTCATATCACACCCATATATGGTCATGTCCTCAGATATAAGCCCACATCGGGTATAACAATAAGTCCAACCCCTACCTTACACCCGATTTTAGATACAAGTCTTCTGAATTGGGCATGTAAAGCTAAAAAGTGCTTTTTGAATTAAAAGGAGATTATCTAAATATAAGAGGCAGGTACCACCTCCTCTCCTCCCCCCTCCCTTCCCACTCCCAAAAAAAAATTAAAAAATAATAATCTGTCCAATTTGTGTTCAAAGGGGATGGGATTATAGAAGAGAAAGTTCAGATTAGGCCCTATAAAAAATATTAGTTTATCACCCTATCTGGGCAGGAAAAGTGATAATGGAGGGAGGATTTTTTTAAATATTTTATTTTGCTAAAGCCAATATCACCCTTGGGTTGTTTGCTGGTGCATTGATATTCAAAAGTATTACATGATTTAGATAATGCAAACAATATCTACTCATTATTTAATAGAATAAATGAAAAAAAATAAATAAATAAAATAAAAAAATAAAAATTAAAAGAAATTTTTTTTTTCCCAGTGCCATAGAAGGCAGGCGCGCGAGGGTGATAAACTAATACTTTTTTTGATTGGGCCTTATCCTTACTCATAGTCGTACTACTTTACATCTGTTGATTGTCAGTGCAGTTCCTTACAGTAGGCCTACTTTAATAGTCTTTTTCTTGTATGATCCATACATATTCAGATTCATATTGTTTCCATTAGTACTTTTATATTTAAACTCTTACTCTTAAATCCTATATTTATCTCTATTTTTCACTCTTATCATGATTCCTTTTAAGGTTAAGTTCATCCTACACCTTTCCCCTTTCTTTTTTTGTGATCCTCTTATCCATAAAACCTGTTTTATTACTATGGCTATAGTACCATACAAATCTATTTATCCCTTATTATAATGACTATACCAAACACCCTTTGTTGAACCTGGTCTACAGTAGAAGAAAGGTGTGGCAGATACAGCAGTTGGCACATTGCCAATATTGTATTCTGAACCCAAAATTTCAACCATTATGGAATTGAGTAAGGAGCTATCATATAATATGGTAAATAAATTTTGATTTTCATTAATTTTATTTCTTTATAAACAGTTTCGGGCATTTAATATCATTTTAACAGATTAACCTGGTCAGTTTGTAGTGTTATGCTTTATGTACAGTATTTGGTTTTAAAATGTTTTGTTGTTAATATTTCTGGAAGTCTGAGCAGGGGAGCTTTTTGCTGCTAAACCCCGCCCTTTAGATGTTGTTGCTGTGGCCGCACCTGACAACAACCTGTGTTTGTGGGACATGCGTGTACTCCTTCACTTTTTCTGATTAGTCAGTTTTTTTAATTTGATTGTCACCCCAGAAATTTCCATTATAACTTCTCACGAAAATGTCTTTGAGGTCGTGCTCAATGCCTCTGATGACTGGTTGCATCGTCGCACGTTTTCCAGCTCTCGCTTCGTATAGTTGCACATTTGCAACGCTGAAAATCTGTAAACGTTCTGTTTAGAATTAAAGTTAGCATTTGTTAACTTTATGGGTAAATGTATGACTAATAACCGTCATCATGAAATTGTGCCACCTTTCTTTGAAGGTTGGTTATCGTGCCAAGATCTTTAAAGATTGACCTTCTATTAATATTATATTTTCCCATGCTTGTCCATATTTTTATTTTATAACCACATACATGGCCTTCCTACACTGCTCTACACATTAGCGTTCTATGATCATTGAATTTTTAATATTTTATTAAAAATATTTTGAGATGTTATTCAGTCTTTCACGCAGCTGAAGAATTAGGTGAAAGTGCAACTTTAGGCGTATTGTAACTCGTAGTTAGCAAGCCAGGCTCAGGAGGAAAGCAAAATTTCTTCCCTCCATAAAGCTACACAACCGTGTTTACAGCAGTGTTAGTAGTTATTCTCATGACTTTCAGTGGCGGATTCAAGGGGTGGGTGAGCCGGCCAGGACCCCTTCCCTTTAAATTTTTCAAAAAATGTGAAAAAATGGAAAATCATAATCAAATTTACTGTAGGTCTGAGAGTGCCATTTCATACCATCTAGAGATGTCATAATCATAAACTTTCTTACCTCAGCCCCAACCAACCATTGTGGGGCTGAGGTTGTCTAGTCTCCTGAATTGTGAAGATTCCGGACTGGGTCCCCTCTATTCTTAGATCCGCCACTGACTCTTGTTAATAATATTCAAAATCACTTCATTCAACAAAAAAATTATTTATTAAACAAAGAAAACATAAAAAAGAAAAAAAAAAAAAAAAAAAAAAAAAAAAAAAAAAAAAAAAAAAAAAAAAAACAATCTAGAACACTTTTCCAGCTGGAAAAATGCAAGGTAAACAAAGAACAAATACTTACAGTGAAGCCGAACAATTCTATCAACAAATATAAAATAAATATCATAACAAATATAAAAATACTCATTAAACTTTAGCCAGAACATTATTAATTATTAAGATTTGTTATAGCTAGTTGTCTTTTTTTTTTCCAGTGATTAAAATTAAAAATGATTTATTTTTTAATTATTTTAACTTGACTTCTGATATATTTTTCATTCAATTAAAAACATGTTCTAATTATTCATGGCAGTACAACTGAAGTTAATTGTAAAATTTATAATGCAAAGAATGTAAATTTAACTATCTGGCATGTAACATTATTACATAATTTATATAGTTTATAGCATTAAATTATTGAGTATTATTTAAATTTAAAGCAGTTTGAAATAAATATGATATAAATCATTAGTCTATTAGTCTAGGTGTTTCTAACTGCGATAATAAATGGTCATAAAGCCCTGGTAAAGTAGGCATATTGCAAACAATTTAAAGGTTGTTAAAATTAAGTGCTTTAGTGTCATAATACATTAATGGGTTGCCACGTCATGTATTTTCCATTTTTTTACTGTATGAAAAATTAACTACGGTAAGCAACAATGGAACAAAAGTAAATAAAATATTTGATTTGGTGCGACAAATTTGGTATTGATATGCCAAATTCCGTTAATGCTTGAATAAGAGCCGCACCAAATCTGATTTTTTTTTTCACTAAGCTTCACTCTTGAACAAGCTTAATCGAGAGTACCCTGTGTGTAATGAAACACTTTGAGAAACAGTGTTTTAAATACAATGTATACAGTTACAGTGTTAAAATGAATAAATAATTCAATGAAGACACATGAATTTCTTTATAAACGTTCATGTACAATGATGTATGACCTATGATAGGCCTAATAAACTATGGAAATATGTGAGATACAGTAGGTAACATTGGAACGGGCATTGAAAGCACTACGCCTATATTTTTTAGAAGCGCTGCTCTCAATTAAGCTCTGCTGCACTGAAGCCTTAAAAAATGTTGGAAACGCAACAGCGCTTATTCAAGGGTTTATGAAGCCTGGGTTCCAGGCCCTAATTTTAGGTTACTCACTCTTTATTGCACTTAGTGCGCGCCATACCTAATTTAATTGGCGTCCCATACTCGATTTCTTTTTTTTCGAATTAGGGCCTGGGAAAACGATTCATGCGTGCAATTTCCCACATCAAATTTGATGTGGGATATCGTATGCATGACTGATTTTGTAAATCACGTGATTGGCTAACTTCATGCATATTAATCAATCTTGGTAAATTTTCAAAATTGAAGATGCGGATGTCTCGACTAGAATAAGCTAACCAGCTCCCTTTTGGCTACCTATACTTGAATAAAAACAGTTAGTATATAATTCTGGCCTGCTGAGAACGACATGGACTGATAACCGTAGGCTATACTTAGGAACCTTGCTCACCGCTAACTGCTACATAGATTTAGGCCTTTAGAGTAGAATATTGTTAAAAAGGTAGGCCTCTGTAAGTTACAACTTAAAAATACGCCAAGCCTCTACTAGAGTCTAGGCTAGGCCTACTACTAAGACAAGGCCTGAGCCATCCTCCTGGAAAGTTAAAGTTTTGTTGTATTTGTATGGTATGCCGTCTAGGCTTAATTGTTTTTGCCATTGCCAAAATTAGTCTTACTAGGGTCTATTCTAAATATTTTAGGCCCGTTTTATTAGGGAGGACTATTTAAATTTAGTCATGCCTAACTAGTCGACACGAGCGGCGAGTGACTCAGTTTCGTGGCTCCAAAAATATGAACATGTGATTGGTTGAAATTGTTTATTTCGGTCCGCCCATTTATCCAAATACGGAATATAAGATTACGTCATTCTTTTGGCATCCTGGTGCCTGACTTAAGTGTTTTACAAGTGGCTTATTCCGTCTATCTCTAAATTAACTTTCTCGTTGGTGGCGCTGTCCAGAATGAGAAAAATAATTTTAAAAAATAAGAGACTTGTGGCAAGTCTAGGGTTTATGGTACAGAAAAAAGAACGTAAATGAGCCAAAGATGAATAATTGGGAATGAAACTTTTGTTATTTGTTGTAAAAAATAATCGTCTGAAAATTTGGGAAAAAATAAATTTGAAAGCTTTTTTCTAATAATTATATTCCCTTTTTTTTTAAAGGTTAATGTATTATGATGATGGTAATACTGTTTGCATTGAAGATATTCAGGCCTACGGCCCAGCACAATTTTTCTAAACCATAGATATTTTGTTATAAAAAATCGTTGGAAACTTTTTTTTTAATACACTCACCAAAGTGACTAAAGACCAGAAAATGAAAGATTAAAAATACTGTAAATTAGAAAGAAGGTATTTTTTTCTGCTAAGTTTGTATGTTGTTGCAATGTGATTCACTGACAGTAGGCAGTTTAAAGTCCATCTAAGAACACGCCTACAGGTATACGTTAGTTTCCACTTACCTTGCTAAAGATCTTATTTGTGTATTGTTTTGTTTTTTCTATTTTTCTGTCGAACCTTTTTGCTTCGAGCTACGGCACTTTATTGTATTATTCAAGTTATTGCACACTTTGCTTGGGTTTGGTTCTATGCAAGCTCTACTTGGGGTTGGGGGGATTTTTTTACTTTTGTGGAATGGCTAACAGCGCTTCGTAACTGCAACAAAAATGCAAAACAGGTAACAAAAATAACGCTAGTTTTAAACAGCATAAAATAGCATAAAGAATAGCAGTTTCATGTGATGTACAGTTTACGATACATCGACTGAACACTTGCTGAAACGTTACGCTCTGCTGATTTTGTTGGCACTATGAGTGCATCTTTTAAAAAGGACCTGTCAAGTATACTTGTCATGTTGCAGTTTCCACGTACATTCTTCGGCCGACCTCTTAGTACTGTCAGGGGGAACAAAGTTGTCTTATGGGGTATTTTTCGGCAATGGCCAGTGGGTTAAAGCCCTGCTGGGATCCAGTGTGCTAAGCCTGGAAAAGGTCTACCCACGTAAGTTGTTCTGAGATGTCTAATAAATATCGAAAGAAATGACTATTGAGGGCTCAGCCTGTCTGATAATAATAATAATAATATTAATAATAGTAATAATAATAATTTCTCGAATTTATATGGCGCCAATTCCAAACAAGATCAAAGGCGCAACGCATGTGAATAGCCACCGGAAACAAATAGGTCTTAAGCCCGGTCTTAAGCTGTGACGTAAAGTAGCAAATAGAGTTGGAAGAAGTTATGTTATATGGAAGCTGGTTCCAAAAAAAGGCAGAAGTATTAAAGTAAAAAAACATTGACCGTAAGTGACAGAAAGAAGTATATCAGGAAAACAATGGGGCTTAGCATGTCAGATAGGGCTTGAGTCCTTTGTCCCTCATCTGCTTGTGCCTCCACTGACTATATTTAGTGTCATAAGACTAATAAAGGAAGCTGATCTTTTGTATAAAAATGAGGCCTTCTATTATTTATAACCCACTACTCTAGGATTTTGCTCTTCCAAGGATGCATTGATAGCATAGATAGGCACCTTTAACCATAAATGTCAAACCTTCTTATTACCCTTTGCTTTTCCCATTTGCTTTCAGGAGCCGTATGATGAAACGGGTTCAATACAACATGACAGTGTTATTGTTTTTAGTCCACGAACACGACATGGTGTCAAGATGTCCAGTGATGGAAAGGTCAGTGATTTCAATTGGCTAGCCACGGACGTTTGTTTATTCTTAAGAGAGGGTCATTTGTGGATTTGTTGAGAAATAATTGGCAAGAATCTTGAATGGGTATAATATCTTCATCAGAAAGTTCAGTGGCTAGAAGCCTTTATATTGTAGAGCCTTGGAGTCTACAATCTACATACTCGGGTAACTCCAAAGAAGTTTCTGACTGAACCTTGGTTTGGTATGGAATGGTTTATGTGCATGCAAGACTTACCAGAACAGTTTGTTTATTTTAGTAACTTGACGAGGCGGAATCACAATTTTTTTTTGTATATTCACCCATCTTTATGCAAATTGTTGGAATTTATAAATTTGTTCTATCTTCTGAACATGGTTACTATGTGATTATTCTTATGTACGTGTAAGTCACCCAAAAGATTTTCATCACAAACTACTTCTATCGAAAACATCACTCCACAGTCGTGTATTTAATATTGAGCAGTGAATTAATCAGTCGTTAGTACCCCTTTCTCACCCTTCTTGGTCTATGCATCCTCTTTAACTGTCAATCAATCATCAAACGTATGAGTGACAGGTCTCTGATGACAATTTACTCAACAGTAATCAAAATGCGGTATCTTTGCGGGTCTTTCGGTCAATCAACAGTGTCGGGTGAAATTGTTTTGATAGACTTTTCGTCTTATAGAACCGCTGATGACAGTGTGTATGTTAGCACCCATAATATGATGATTTCTTGAGAAAACCAACAAATTTGGTACTGTATATATCTCGGTCCCTACAAACTTGCCCTTTGACATACTAGTTCCTCGACTGTACACAGTTCCCCCCTCCCCCACAAACTCGCTGCTAACAAAGGTGGCAAATTTGTTACAGGAGTTTGTATATTGCACTGTATCTTATTGCAGACACTTATGAGCATTGATGGCATTCAAACCTCGCTGTATTTCTTTGACAATTTGGAACCATATATTACGCACTGTATGTTATTTTAGCCCCCTTCCCCTAAAAACGGAAGATTGATGATAACGCTGTCCACCCCTATTGTTATAGTTTCTGAAGACTGAAAATAGGCTCTGGTTTATTAATAATTTTTTTCTCAGAACTATGAGGAAAAAAAAAAAAAATCACTTTGATTTGCACCCCAATGGTGTCCTATATTCCCCCTCCAAAGGGTAGGGGCCGAAGATGGGGGGATTTCACCTGGTGTACTTTAGCACCTGTGACTGCAGGTCTCTAGCCTATTCTTGGTTTCTTGTTGAACTTAACAATGAACACATTACCATAAAATATCTCTACATTTTTAAACAACCAATAGTACCAATGCCCCACCCCTAACAGTACCAACTGATCGCATCACTCACATGCCCTAATTCTAAAAACAATTTGACAGTTGTACTGTGTATAATGGAGCTGAGTATTGCTAGCTGGTTTTCGCAAACTTAATTTTTGAATCCATTTCCTTAAGTTCAAGGTATGCTTTTGTTTGTGTGTGATTGACAATGATTCAAGGAAGACTACCTCTAGACCAGTCACGTTTCATGACTGATGTACCCAGACATTTTCTTCAAATTTATATATAGTCCAACATCTGTTGTTTGAATCATCAAAACCTGCACAGAAGTGTCTAACTTGAAATAGATAAATTTATTTTAGGTCTGTAAATAAGACACAAGTCTATAATAGAATTTAATATTTTGCCCTATTAAAACAATCCTACAGAAATATAAATGTGCTCTTATTGTTGAGTAATAAAAAAAATCTGGTGTTTGAATCAAAACATGACAGAAGCTTCTAAATTTACATCTACCAGTACCAGCTAAGATAAATTTATTTGAGGTCTGTGTAATATAAGACACTTACTATAATATTACATTATTTTGTCCTATCCCTTTAAAATACCAAAGAATCCTGCAGAAATATAAACATGCTCTTATTGCAATGAGTATATGTGAATGATAGCCAAGTTAAAAAAAAAATTCCAGATATAGTTTATAAGCATTGTTCCAAAAATGGTAGTATCACAAATATTAATATTGTGATATCTGGATCTATAGTGTTTTCCCTTTAGCATTGTATATTACGTACATCAACAAATATGCATGTGTTTACAATACCAGGAAGCCAGTGTGAACTAAACCAAAAGAATTGGCCAAGCATGAAATTCTGACCTTTGACCTACTTTACCACCATTATTATTTTGGTTATAAAGGACTAAAGTGCTTTGTTAAATGCTAAAGAGGGCAGCAGATTCTGTAAATTGTTAAATCATGTATATATTTGAAAGAAAGCTTGAGATAATTCTGCCCATTTGCCTACAATAAAAAAAATAATTCTATATTTTAATTTTTTTTTCCGGCCTCCTCTGATGATCTTTAAAAAAACAAGTTTGTGAAACAAGGTATAAAAAAAGTCTCATATAACAATAAATTTATAATCAGACTACCAAATTATGTAATGAATTTGCACTATGGTTTCTAGACTACTATTAATTTAGATAATAAAAAAAGCAGACATACTTAGGCATAGGCATACAGTAGGGTAGATATTCTGAGCTCAAATTCATTACTGTGTTCGTTTACAGTACATTTGTTTTAATTTTCGTTTTCATAATCTATGCACAAGGAGCCTTTTCCTTAGCTTTTGCCTTTGAATGCGGTGTACGTGGTATGTTGATATCTCACTCGTGAGTAGAGGCATGTTCAGACGAGTCTGAAGTAAGCTTTGAAGTAGCAGTTTACTTGTCGTAAGCCTTGGGTAGTGCCCGTGTGAAAACACTCTTTGTATTAAGTTACTTCAACCTTACTACAGACATTTACTCCTGAGCAGATTCAGGTGTAAGTGTGCTACTTTTGCATACACAAGGAAGATAAAGAATATACACTCGGAGTAGAACTGTGTAGACACACTTACTTTAGAGCTCGAAAGTAAATGCGACCTTTATTTTGACCTCAATTATTTTCAAAAGATAAGATCTTCAAATGAGTGGTAAAATAACATCCTGTGATGTGTAAGACTTTGTAGACACAATGTTTTCATAATTGTTTAAAATTTCAACAAAAAAATGTGCAAAATAACCGTTAAGAGACAGCGAAGTAGTGAATATCACTTCCGGAAAATTTGCATAGTTACTTCTAAACTTTGAACTAGTTGGGTAAACATCGTGTGGACACTCGTCGGAAGTAACATCAGCGTAAAATTTTACGTTGTAACTTTACTTCAGACAGAAGGTCATCTGACCATAACTTATGTTATGTAGAGCTTGTAAACCAAAAAAATTGATACAGTACATAATTTTTTTATTATTGAAGTCATGCTCCAGAGGAAAAAACATTTTTTTGATTTGTTGTACAACTGATTTTTCTAAGACAAAAAAATCATATGGCCGTGTTTCAGCGGCATTTAAAATTTCCATGATAAATTATCTTGCAATTCACCCAAAATATTTTATCCCATCATGCAATATAATGGACAACATTACAATGTGTTTAACAAATGAACATCCGTTTTGTTGACCTAGCAGTTGGCCTTTTTTTTTGTGCGAGATGAGATAAGCCTAGTCCAAGAATGTATCGTACGGTACTATTTCGCTCTGGGAAATGTACTGTTGCAACGATGCTTCATTGTACTTCTATAGGGAGTGAGAAGAAGAGGAAAAAGAATGCCAGCTTTGTTTGGTGTGCTTACGGCACAATAAACAATAGGTAGGGATAAACTTAAGCCCAGCCAGGCACCGTCGACATCCAATGCAGTCTTTTTAGGCTTTATTCTACTCACTTTTTATTATGAAGTGTTTGATTACTAGGCCTAGGCCCCTAGGCCTATTAACTACTAGAAACTACTGTAACTACCTAAAATAAGTCTTTGCATGGCCATAATTTGACATTAGTCAAAGGTTATTTATTTTCGCTTTCAGAGCTTTTTCCGATAAATTATCTGATTCTCATACCAAAATTCATCGGAAAATGTGGGCCTCGTTTCTGCAGCAAAAATGATCAAAATGGACGCTTTCAGATAATTTATCGGATAATAAGTGTTGTCAAGCCTTTGACGAAAAACTCAGAAGTGGTTAAAAAGCTACAGAAAAAAAAAATGGGTGGTTACACCCTTCCCCCCCCCCCCCCCATTTTTTGATTATTCAAAAATCTGTATCTCATTAACCGCTTCCAATTTTTTTGTCAAATATGCATCTTGAGAATCGGTTGTACAACATATGAAAAAAAATGTTTTTACTCCGGAGCCTTGCTTTCAATCTTCTAGTTCAGTTGAATTACATTCATTTAACCTTGTATCTATTTTTCATCTCCCAATACAACCTCCCAAGTACTACATCCCTGGGTAATTGTTCAAAAAAACAAAACAAAAAAAATCTTTCAGTGTTTAATATTTTTTTTGATGACAGCCAATTATAATAATTATTATTATCTATTATTAATTAAAATTTATTTTAATAACAATAATAATAATAATACATTTCTTGTATAGTGCAAACATATTTGACAACATCTCAATGTGCTTTAAAACAATTTTAAATGTATAATTTTAACTAAAATACATTAAAAGTACAAAGCATTCACTAACCAAACAACCATTCCAATTTAAACACAATTTCACAATTTAAAATGTAATATTTATTTCTGTACCAAAAAATGTCAATATTTATTTCTGTACCAAGTCAAACATTCACGTCTAGCCTATGGGAAAATCTAAGTTAAAACCCCAATTACAAATTATCCGCGATATCTCTAGCACTTTTTACGTATCGTGCTTACATAATTACTAAGTGTATCATGGTTATTTCGTACAAATTTAAGTGATACCTTAACGACTTCCCGAACTAATTGAATCATCTTAAGGACATATATCAAATCCCACGAGAGGAATCGAAGGTGGTAAATATGAACTAGAAATGTGCTGAATTTTAACCACAAACTTCCTGTACTGTATGTTCGTCAATCTTACTTTTAAAGAGATTAGGAGCTATTTTGCTAATGCAGTTCATATTTTGTGGGTATCCTTAATATATTTTATTGTTATAAATAGGTAAAAAATGTAGCAGTTTGCTCAGTTAAAAGCCTGTTTATACTTCTACGATAACGATAAAAAAGCTGAAAAGCGATTGTTAATATAGAAAACAAAAGAAATAAGAGAAGTTTTTACACTAGGACGATTCGATAACGGTTTATTGTGTATATGATAACAAAATATTTTAACAAATGAAATCAGATGACGTCATAATCATGGAAAAACGATAAAATCGTTGCTGCTACTACGATTATAATGTTTTTCCATGATTATGTTGTCATCTGAATTGATTTGTCAAAATATGTTGTTATCGAATATTAAACTGATAAATCGTTATCGAATCTTTCTAGTGTAGAAACTTCTTATATCTTTTATTTTCTATATGAACAGTTGCTTTTTACCTTTTGTTTAATCGTTATTGTTATCGTTGAAGTATAAACAGGCCTTAAGCCTCTGTGTTCTTTGTGACTAGTCCCCTCAAAGCTCTGCCTATGCTATTACTATCAAATTTTCTTTGGCACAAAACTGTTGTATGCCCATATATAGTTATGATGTGCCTATATATGGTCATGATGTGATGTCATCAATCATGACCATATTTAGGCATGTCACATGTTTTTGTTAAATGGTAGAAAAGGGATTTGTATGAAGAAGACAACAGTTAAATGTTAACTTATTTTGTATTACAATACTGTATATACTATGATTAATTTTTGATATTGAAAACTTTTTCTATGACCAGTTATTCAAAATTTAATGCAAGACTTTTCTTTTTAATTATTTTTTTCTTAATTTCTTGTTTGTTTTAAAACAATATTTGCCTAAGAAAATAAAATATTATTTTGTAATTTGAAATCAGTCACTAGTAGGATATATTTTATTTTAAAAAAAAATCCCAATAAAATTGTTTATTAGTTTATCACCCTCACACGAATGTCTTCTATGGTATAAACAAAACAAAAATTATTTTTCAAAAATTATTATTTTTTTGGTTTTTTTTAGTAAATAGTATAGTAGATATTGTTTGTATTATCTCAATCATGTTTTACTTTGAATATCAATACACCAGCAAACAACACAAGGGTGATGTTTGACTTTAGCAAAATAAAAAATAAAAAGCCTCGCTCCCTCATCACTTTTTCAGCCTAGGCCTAAATTGAAAATGGGTAGTGATTTGTCCCTGTAAAAAAAATAACTTCATGTCATTTTGATACTTATCAGAATCCTGGTCTCTGAAATTTCTCTCAGCTCTTTCAACCTTGACCTTCCATCGAAATTAAGATCTGTAACAGATTACAGATTAATCTTACCAGGCAAGATCGAAAGTTTTTTTTTTATCTCCTGTTGTATCATCCATCGTCTTTTTTGGTACATTATCCAAAAGACCTCTTACTCATTATATCGATAATTGGTTGTTATCTAACCTGTCATGTGACCTCATGCGACTGACATGTGACTTGTCGGTGGTTGATCGCTGTTTAAGTCATGATGTGCCCATATATAGTCATGATGTGCCTATATATGGTCATGATGTGCCCATATATAGTCATGATTTGCCCATATATAGTCATGATGTGCCTACATATGTGCAGACAAGCCAAACCAGTCACTCGTTGCAAAAATAAATTTTGAGTTATTAATACAGTGTTAGAGAGTAAAATAATAGCTATAAAATGGTAAAAAAAACATTCAAATCGGACACTTCCTTATGAAGTTACAAGCGTTTAATCACACAGCTGTTTAAAGAACAATATATGAGAAATCAGCCTTCAAAGTTTATGATTTCAGGCATCTTATGCAGAAACTATCTTTAAATCCTTAAAAAGTGTTGTTTTAACATTGAAAATGGGGAAAATAACAGCATAGAATGATGTATAGATATATAAAGGTTAGTTTAGTGCAGTAAAATAGATTTTAAAAAACTTGACATTCCAGCATGTTTTGGCCATTTTCTCTGTAACAGGATTTGCGACGAGTGACTGGTTTGGCTTGTCTTTGCCACATATGGTCATGGTGGGATGTCACCATGGCCATGTGTTTTTTCAAATAGAATTTGATAGTCTGGACAGGGATTATCTGCAGATTCTGTAAATCTTCTAATTGTTTTATAACCTTAAAGATGTATTGCCCCATGCTAAGTACCAACAAAATCATAAAAATATTATTTGAAATTAACTTGCCCATTTTGAAGTAACATAAAAGTTATCAACTTGAACATAGAAATTAGTGTATTTATTAGTCTACCCATCAGTGTATAGCGAAAAATGATAGAAACAGGTCTACAGTCACTGGAAGTGTTTTTATTATTTTTATTATAATTTTTTTATTTAAAAATCAGGGTACACATTTTTCAATAATTTTTTTGCACAAGTTAATAATTTGTATGCTATTGCAATATGAGCAAGTTTATGTCAAGATTATTTTTTATGATTTTTTGACATTATCAAGGGACAATACATCTTTACAATTACACGATTTTGTCTTATCGAATTCTACCATTAAATGAATTTCATAATCAGAGAGACCCAGGAGGAAAAACATTTGTATTTAAAATGAGTGAATTTCTTATGTCGATGCAGAAGATGTTTGAAATTTTAGACCTAAAATGCAATTTAGTAAAGTTATAAGAAAGCGGGACGTTTATTCGACAGTATTTATATTTAAAATTTGTTGTGTAGCAGGGGGTGTGCTCAGCGGTCAGGGAGGCCTTACCTAGCTAAATTTTGTGTGGGGGAAAATGAAACACGTTGGGTGGGGAAAAGCTGGACGACCCCTTGTTAGCTAATTCAAGTAGTGAGCATGTGGGACAGGATTAATGACACCTGTATTCACATTTTTTTATTCCACAGTTATTTCTCGATGAAGAACAGCAAATAGAGATCAAGACGGATGGACTATTCCAAACGGAACCGGTGGATCTTTCCATGAGTGGCAGGAACGGCAAACTACGCTCCAACTCCTCGTCACCAGTCGCTCCAACCGTTATCCCAGACTCGCGACTAATTGATACTTTTCCGTATACCTCAATAGGAAGAGAGGACGGTAAGATTTGAACTTCATTTAAATTCATTGATGGTACAAGTATGCGAGGTGGGATATTGACAGTACAAGGAAAGGTGGAACACCCTTTCCCCTCTTTCCCCCCTCCTTCCTGTCTAGGACACATCCCACTGTGCACCATCACTTCTTGAATTATTCTTATTACCACGCATAGATTTTTTCAAAGAAGATAACAAGCTATACAGCAAAGGGGCAGCAGTCGCCGAGATGCTGCGATTTGTACGTCCTAAGATATTTGGGGTGGATGAATTCTATCATGTCTTTTTTTAATGATTAAGTAAAGATTACTGGACATATTCTGGCTAGATCCCCTTTGTCATGCAAGGTTAAAGTCATAGAAACATTAGGTTTGTATAATTGCATTTGCAAGTTTGAACTTTCTGTCAAATATCATCGTATTTGTCACGATAAGGAAAACAGTTTGAAGATGTTATCTCCCTTCCCCATCAAGAATGCCTGCATGGTCCAGTGGTTGGCAAATATTATGCATTGAAGTTAAAAACCGAACGATAAATGTTTAAAATTCTACCTCAAGTCCTTATCAGTTCTGTCCACGCTTTCCCCTTGATCAACAGAGGGGATGTGAAGGGGTAAGCGAGCACTCCCCTTCTTACTGGCTGCCATCCAGCGACGATCAGCTGTCGCACCCATAACGAGCCCCTTGTTGAAAGTGAAAGTGCGTCTTGGAAGTTAAGCATTGACTTGCAAGTCACGGTGTACTACGTGATCAATCCAGTGACCACAAAAATAATTAGATTCGCTTTCGATGCTGCGAAAAAATCTTTGCCTGGTCCTCTTTAAAGACCTCTCAGCAACTGTCTAACATGTGGCTTAACGGTTGTCAACAATTCCAGCGTCTTAGGTTTTCCTCCTTAGCTTTTTTTATCGCATACCATCTGGTTACAGTTTTCACCTAATTTTGAAGCGTGGCCTAAAATTGATTTCGGAGATGATGATGATAACGCTGATAAGGGTTTTGTCGGCAGTTATAATCGTTATCACGAGAGCTAAGGTGTTGAAAATGGTGATGAGTATAAAGATGGAATTGAAGGAAACCGGGAGAATATTTCCAACGGTGGAATATTCTCGACTTGTTTTTATACGTTGTTTTGCACATTTATTATTGTTATATATTTTATTCATTTCTTCTTCTCAGATCCTCAATGGTGTGGAAATTTTTTTTTTAATTGTTTTGTTATTAAAGTAGGCGGAGAAGAAACAATAAATACAAATTTTACAGGAAAATTTTAAAATGCAAGTTTACAACAAGGTTATTAATATACAATTTAATAACTTTTGATATCAGAGGTATTGAAAAATAAAATAATGTATAAAATTAAAAAATATTAATATTATTGTTTATATTTTTCTCATATTTAAATTGTATATTGGAAATTCTTGATGTTGTCACTCAAGGTAAGAGTAGCTGGTCTCGCATTTGTGGGAATGCGACGTTAAAGAATAAACTGACTAAACTATTTGATTACTCATAACGTTAACACATATGGCATTTTACTGTTAAAGAAAATATTAATTTAGGAACATTAAGTAGTTTAGATTGCATATTATTTGTGTAAAAGCTAGTAAGAGATGTGGTATACTCAAGACGTTTCGATCTAACAGAGATCTTCATCAACTCAGTTCCGTACCAGTTTTTACAAAAAAGAATTTGTCGCCAGACACAACAACAAAGTCAATGAAAGATTACTGTAATTTGGTTCTTTTTAAAATAACTTGTTCTTTTTAAAATAATCATGTGAATTAAATTTCTTTATATTAATACTGCAAACTAAATAGATTATGACTAACAGGTTTATTAGTTCATTCTAGTTAATATCATGATGAAGAACAGCAAGTAAATTGTTTTGTTTTTTGGGGGTTTTTTTTAGTTGCAAGTTTAAATAAGGTTGACTGTTGTGTTTAAAAATACAAAACAATGACAATGATAACAAATTTTCTTTCACTTCAAACTTGCAAGCTTCATCCCCTAAAGAAAACTTCAACACAATTGTGATAAAAATTTAATAAATAAAACTCTTACATCAATTTTATCTTGATCGGATTTATAATTAGTACTTATTAATTAGACGTTAATTTGCCTGTTTACACTGGATGTCACACACAACTAGATTCTTCATTGCTTGACATTTTTGAAGAGTTAAAAAAGGCTGCAGCCACTTATGGTGACAGGAAACAGGGTTAATCCAGTGCGTATGGTGTTTCTGTGAGTGCTGTTATTTACCACAATCAATGGTCTATTCTTGTAGACGATCCAGAGTGCGTGAACTCTGGCATGACGTTATAACCCATCAATATAAAAATAAACAACATGGAAAAGATCTTGTTTTACATTTTTGTAGATTTTTAGCTGCTTACCTGATTACATGATAATAATAAGTAATATTAATATTTTAATAATAATAAAAATGATTATTTTAATAGTTATTAATAATGACAATGTAAGGATTAATAAGACAAAAAAATTATTTGTTGTCTTGCCTAACTCGTGACCTTTAAAATTCAGTGTTTGTCAGGGTGTTTTTTTTTTTGTTTTTTTTTCTAATATTATTTTAAGCCTAGACCAATATCTATTGTTTTATTGTTATTTAATCACCCGTGAATTTTGGATTTACTAAGATGGTAACCATGAGCTAGACTATTATTCATGATTAAGTATCAAATGATTAATAAAAGTTTAAAAAGTTTTTTTTCTAAACAGTATTTGATGTTAACCACTCTTTTTTCACATTAATTACACATTTAAATATTTAAACATTTTTGTGCCTTTTTATTTTATACCAGTGATAATTTTTATAGTTTTCAAATTGTATACATATTGTACCATAAACACATTGACAGATAGCCAAAACAAAAGTCAACTATTAAAGATGTACTTTCCATTAAGTAACATTTTTTTTAATTAAAATTTTAATTCCCCATTTGATTTGCTATATTTGTATTAAATAACTTTATTAACTTAAAATTGTGGACAGTTGAATAATAATTTGCTTAAAGTATTCTTTTGCATCGATCCTTAAATTGGCTGGTAATTAATTTATGGATTTTTGTATTAAAATGTCTGTAAATCGGTGAAAATTATTTTTTGTTAATCTGTTTCTCATTGGAAGTTAATCATTTTTTTTTATCCTTTCAGATGAGCTATTCAAAATTTTATTTGTATTTTGAGGTATTTTCTTGCCTTTTTGACTGATATTCATCTTTAATGAATGTCTTGTAGATTATATTCTATTTGGTATTGATTAAATTTGAATCTTAATAATAAAATAATAATAATAATAATAATAACAATATAATAAAAGTAATAATAATAATATTAATAATAATAGTAACAATAATAATAATAATAGTAATAATAATAATAATAGTAGTAGTAATAATAATAAAAATAATAATAAAAATAATAATAATAATAATAATAATAATAATAATAATAATAGTAATAATAATAATAGTAGTGTGGATTTGTATAGCTCCGGCATCCATCAAACAAGATGCTCATGGCGTTTGATATGTGGACTAGGTACTCGATCAATTATAAGGAGAACTGGAATATAGTAGTAAAGCCAGTCCAGTTTATGGGTAAAGCATTATGATTGTGAAATGTAGAAAGCGGGTTTGAAGTTTACATTGGAGAGGAAACTGGAGATGACTTTATGAATCATAGGGTAGTGAACATGCTGTGTACGATTAGAAAAAAAACAAGGCATCGAAAATTTGGTGCGACTCAACTTTTGACAAAACGTGTGGGAATTCAACCATGTGATCTAGATAAGGTACTGGCCTAGCGAAGGAGGAGCGCCGATTACCGTAGGGACTTGAACCGCGGTGTAAGTATGTCAGGGTTTCCACATTGAATATATATCGAAACCGCGTCGCGTTCGACCAAATTTTGATCAGTTTATCTGCGGGTGAGATCCGAGAAGAGATTGGACGTTCTTTAGTTGATACCGAAGCAGACTTAGAATGATAGTGACAGTACAAGGGACTAGTCATCAAAATATTCCCCCTTCTGCAAATCCAAGACGGGCACTCTCTGTGCTCCGTAAGCTGAGAGAGAGTATAACCGGGTGACATTTTACCCTCCTTGGGTAATTGGATATCGATGAATAGGAAGTGTGGTGTAAGGACATTTCGAGATAAGCAAGGCACAAATCATGAATGATAAAGCTGTGCAGTTTTTCTGCCCTGTCAGTTGTTCCCACTTTGATGAAAACAGCACGTAAATGCCTAATAAAAACATGTTAGATAGCGATAGCTAGAACTAGACCATGTGTGGGTTTAACGCACCCTGAAACAGATCCTGGAACACACCCTAATAATGCTTTTTCATTGTTTATCCTATTTTGAGCTGAAAAATGGGACTCAAAATTTCTGTTGTATATTCGTGTTATTTCAGTTGCTCTTAAAATATGAATTGTTCTTTTAACTTTCTTGAACAGTTATAAAAATACAAATGATTAACTCAAATGTAATTCAGTTATATAAAATTATATAGTTAATTTTTGATATTTTTTTTTTTTAAATCTAATAAAAAAAAAAGTAGCTGTTTAACAGCAACTATTAATATTATTGTTTATATATTGTTAGATCATATATTTATTAGAGGCCATATTTATTATTAATAATATTAATTATTACTAAATTAATCTTAATTCTTAAAACACTATACTTCATAGCAAAGTTTTCATAAGGATATTGACGTATACAGTAGTATTGATTTGTATTGATGTAAAAGACGACATAAAATGTAGCTATCTACTTGACTGTATTAATATCAGGAAAGAGGTAATAGTCAGTATAATATCCGTTGCCATCATGTAAACAAATACCTGAATTTCCTTTGTAAACGTTATGCACAGCCATTAAATTCTAGTTATAAGCTGTCGTAGCCACATTTAGTTTCTAGATAGGATTGACATTCTTCTATCTTGTACATTTGCTATCTACAGTTACTATTATCTTGTCTTATTTTGTTTTGTTTTCTTATTTAAAAAAATCATAAGTGATATAAGCGCACATTTTGAATAAGCGCCTTCACCAAACATAATTTTGTTGGGCATTTGTCTGTTCATCAATAACATTTTCTTTTGATTTTCTTTGCCAAGTAGATGCATTTGAAGAGCTTTGCTTTTTATAATTATAAAAGCAAATTTTATTTTACTTTTCGTTTGCCATTCTCAGAAGATTTTTTTTATAATATGTCGCTTTGTGTACTTTAAAACGATACGTAAAAAGTTTTGTTTTATCGTCTAAATCAGATGTATTGTACATTCTACTTTTCTGTGTGTGTCTTGTTTTTTATTGTTTAAATCAAAATACTTGATTCCCAGCTACAGTGAGCACAGTGAAGTTGTTTGAAATATCCTTATAAAAAATATATACATAAAATCATATTTAAATTATTGCATTCAAATCAAATTAGGGTGGAGGTTATAAAACAGACTGTGAAATTGTAATAAAAAAATAAGAATAGGCTAAGTTCAAAGGTTAAGTGCTTCCTTAAGGTTCCGAAATGAATATTAAATACCAAACTAGATTGTTATTTAATGAACCCAGATTGACCTTGGGGTCAGAATAATATCTCAGGACAAGGAGGAAATAATGCACAGATTCCATTCTATATGTACAGGCTTTTCCTAGGTTAAATGATTCTATTAGTTCAGCCGTCCCGAGGCAAAACAACGTAACTGACTTTTGTCGATTTTGAGATTATAATATTTGGGAGTATATTCTATTCTAAACCATTAAGATTATAAAGTCATTTGGGCGTAATGAACGGTAAACCAACGTCTGCTTGACAACAAAGGGCGCCACCTGGTGTTGTGACGACACAACTGTTGTACTCTCTAAACCTACCATCCTAAATTCGGATCAATTTTGTCTTCAAGGGATGGGCTTATACCAGAGAAATTATGGTGTATATGCTGACACTGAACACATTTAGAAAAAAAAGTTGGTAGTTTGTAGAATAAGTGTCCTGGAAATGATTAGTTGAGTAGCTTGCTGGTTAAGGTGCTTGCCTTTCAATCTCAGGGTCCTGGGTTCAATTCCTATCATGGTGACTGGATGTTTTATCACAACTAAAACAGCTTCATTCACAAAGCTTCATAATAAGAATTAGATTAAAATGATTAATTCGGAATATAGATGGTGTGGCCTTGGTTATTTCTATCTTTAATTCTAAAAAATTATGATTCTCACATGCATCCCCATTTCCTCCATCTAATGAACAGTTTTCATTAATATGGCAATTTCAATTTCCAATTCATCAACCGATGGAGCTCATCTATGTAAAATACATCATCTATTTCCAAAGAACATTAATTACTATACTACCCATTTAATTTGGCCTACTGGCAATCGATGTTGTTGAACTTTTACTTCAGCCCTCCAGCTGCAACACAGTGAGAGGCAGCGATGGGAATTGAACCGGGGACTTAGAGATCTCCACAGTTCAGCGCGCACACAGCGGCCACCACCAGTTTAGCTGACTGAACTAAGCTGTTCTCTGTACACGTAGTGTCAACCAACGCAGTCCCATGCAATGTTTGCGCCACATTACGTCGATGAGGATCACATCCGAAAGTCAGAGTCCCTAACTCCACTATAGAAAAAACTTAATTCTCAACCCTCCAGCTATATAAATATTACCTTGGGTGGTGTGGGGTGGGGGTGGGGTGGGTGATCCAAGATTATAATTTCTCCCCAAATTGTATTTGTATAAAGTAGAGGTCAGTACTAAAGCCTAGGTGTACCACTACAAACTAATTACATCTATATTTTCTATATAGGTATGATGATGTCATAGCACTACCCAAATACGCAAATTGCAGTTCTTTCAGTAAACTATCTGCAGAAAAAAGCTTTTATTTCATTGTTCTTTGTAAATGGAATTTCTCTTGCCTTTAATTATTTTATCTTAAATTTGCAATTTATTTTTAAATATTCTTGAAACTTGTTAATTATATTGTATTGCCTTTATCTTAAATTTGCAATTTACCTTTAAATAATCTTGAAACATGTTAATCGTATTGTATCACCAGTTTAAAGTTTTTAAAATGATTTTGGAATGCGTCTCTTTCTTTTAGGAATTATACTTTGCGATTGTTTTAATAAAAATGTACATATATCCCTTTATTTCTTATTTGAATAAAATGATTCATGCTTTTATTTGGACAGTGTAATATTTATTTTTTTATATTGCTTACTTTCTACTGCATTAAGAACAACTATTTTAAAAACTAATTCATTGGTCATTGGTTTTGAATTCCTTATCCGCCCATTGTTCTGTTTTAAAAACAATAACAATACATGATGTTAATATACAAGTGAATGTACTTTCAATTACTACTTTTATTATGATGAACTAATAAAATAGGTCTGCTGCCCTCTAACATGCAATTTCCACGTCTCTATTATAAATTGACAATAGAGGGCTCCCTTTATTTTTTTTCTATTTATTACTTGCAAATGATTAGTAATGTGTCTTTGTAGTCTCTTTCACTTAGTCTTCTGCTCATTTTTAGTACTTTTGATTGAATACTAATAAGCTATTACAATATAAAAAGTAAGATTGTTACAAAAATAAAAATCAAGATGCAATCGATTATTGAATCAGTACATAAATATTATATTAAGCCAGCTCTGTAATTTAGTCGGGAACTCTACAAACTTTTTATATTATAGATGGTCCCAGACGCTTCTCTATCATGGTTTGGCTAGTAGGAAAAAACTTTTTCGTGGACAAGGACTTAAATCTGATACCCAGTGTAAACGTCTGACTTTTATACTTTATAAAAAATAGGTTTCCAGAAGTAACTACTGCTAGACATAGTTTTTTTTTTTTTTTTTTTTTTTGTTACTCTGAACTCATCCATGCTTTCTGTGTTGACAATTCACTTTAATAACTGTAGGCCTACAAGTATTACCAGATTTTTTACTTTTTAGGGAACTTTTTAGGACAGGTCTTATCTAGCAGCTTTCTGTGTTGGCAGTTCACTTAAATAACTTCACTACGACCGGTTATATCTAGCATATAAACTTACTTTTCATTTTTAAACTGAAATTGTGAAATCTCGAAAATATAGGGCCGTAGAATAAGGGAGCTGTACAGTATCTTTAAAAGTATAAGGTTACTCCAATACTCTGCTCAACTCCGTGGTCATTGTACTTCTTTTCTCAGAGCTCAGCATATCTGATAAACTTATTTTTCTGTTTTCACTTGTCTCACTGTGTCTGTATTGTTTGCTTTGCTGCAAGTAGTGCCTCTAATACAAATAAATTATGTTGTATGTCCTCACATACAAACTCATAGTACATTAAGTTTAACCAGGTTATTATCCTGATAAAAGTGTGAATTAGTTCCAAGCCAAACCAAGGACATGAACTCAGCTTTACTATGAATATTGCAAACATACCTCAATGATTTTTATTCCTTTTTTTCGTTCTTCATTGAAATCATGAAATGTTAGTGCCAAGAAGTGTTGTGTTATGCCTCGCACTCATTGTACCCAACGGTCATCCGCCGACGCGATTCTGTGAAGAATGCAACGTGACGACGCCAGAAACTGATCGTTTTTAAGGACGATCCGTTCAGATGGCCACCGACAATCAGCAGATGGCGTTGTCATCTAACGCTCGCAGGAAGCGAAGTTGGATTCGTCATGCAACAGTCGTACATTACGATGCAGTGAGTTCCTGGCTTTACTCTTCACGACCAATCGTACAATTCCCTTAAAAAATTTCAAAGCGTTTTAAATGTTTATCCTTAAATATTTGCGCATCACAGTATCAACAAAATTAACTTTCCAAAATTGCTTAGAAAATTAATATTTGAAATATAATATCCCATCATTCCTGAGACTAAGGTTAGACAGTAGGTGTACATATAATTTGTTAACAATTGAAGTATCAAAATTCATCCCATGCATCTTTGATTTAGTTTATGCTAGGCCGTTCTTTTGCTAGTTCTTATCTCGTGATCTTGAGGCAGTGGATGGCCACTTGGCTTGGATCCCCTATCAGACTTACTAGGTCCCTGTTGGTATTTTTGGAGCCACCACTTACACAGTTATATTATCTGCAAGTTGTTATCTGTTGTTATTGTCTGCAAGATGTAAACTTCTGAGAAAAAAATGTTATCTTATGTTATTTTGTAGTTCTTATATCTCGAGAGAGCAGTTTAGCTCAGTTGGCTAAACTGGTGGTAGCCAGTGGCAGGGCCTGCAGGGGGCAGCAGGGCTTAAGCCTTCCCACCGGACAGGTCAAGGTTCCCCCCCCCCCATTAGACAGCTCGTCGGGCAGTCGGACTAAAAAATATATAAAGATATATATAAAGCCAACACATGTCTGTCACAATCACAGAGTGTCATTTCTGGCCATTCGGGGTTCCTATTCTTAAAAAAATTTCATTTGGGAGGGTGAACACCCTCTCAAACCCTTCCCTCAGCTTTGGCTTACCAGCCCAAGTCCCCCTGTTGGACAGCTCAGCCCCTCAGAAAATATATCCTAGAGCCGCCACTGGTGGTAGCCACTGTGTGTGTGCTGAACCGTGGAGACTTCTCTTCTTCAGACTTTCGTGGGTTGTCCTTGGTGTTTTCACCAAGTACATCCGTTTTAATCCAATCTAAATTATCTTGTTGAAATATAGAATATTAAAACGGAATAGATATTTTTTATATATTTCTTATCCTTACAGATAATGTTCTCGATTTGAAAAGGAGAGCCAGTGCAATTGTTGTTGCCCCGCGATCAAACCAGTCCCGTAAAGAAGATGATTTCCCAACCGTCACAATCGACAGTGTTAACAGAACAGGGGCAAGCGCCCTCCTATCCCTAGAGCAAGTAGCACCGTAAGTATTCAGTGTTTTACCGTCTTGGTTTCTTGCCGTTTTCACTCAAGCTCAATGGCAATGATTTGTAATAGAGAAAGACAACAGCTACTGACCCTGTACAGTAGCCGGTGGCTTCCTTATAAATGGCTCCATGCAAAGTTGAATCCCATTTAGTTGAATTCCCATGATCTATCTATTTTAATATCATCATCAATTTATAATATGAAAATTAAAACAGCTACTGGTCCTTTACGGTAGCCGGAGGCTCCCTTTTATCACACAGTTACAAACATTCAATAAAATGACAAAGTTGAATCCCATTTCGTTGAATACCTCTGACCTATTTATCTAATATTTTAATATATCAATGGGCTCGATTTGTGATAGAGAAAATTGCAAAAGCTACAGGTCCTGAGTAGACAGTGGCTCCATTATCATACAGTACAAACGTTTAATAATGTAAGTGACTCTATATAATGTTGAATTCCATTTCTTTGAATATCCCTGATCTATTTTAATATTGATGTTGTATTATTAAAGTGGGTTAGATGATTGACCTTTTAACTTGTACCAGATTTCGTGTAAAACCAGTTGTTACGTGTTGAACTTACTTCAACCACATCTTATCACAAAAAAAAGAAAGAAAAAAATCATCCCCTGTATTCCCTTTAGCAATTGTTAGCAAATATATTTACTTAATGCACTTATTGTTTTTCTTGTAAGCCCACAATTGTTTGGGATCTACAATAACACCCACACTCGCCCACTCAAATGCAAAACTCCCCATGGGTGCAGATCGTGTAGTGCAGTGTATTGTCGTTCACATCTGTGTTATTTGTACTTTTACAAAGCGACTGTGATTCCTAACATTGGCTTGCTGCTTGAATTGAGTATTTATAAAGATTTTTCAAGTAGGTAAATTACTTTTTTGTAACGGTTCCCATTATAAGTCAACCTACTCACGGTGCATTGGAATTCGTTCAATGTATTCTTGTTTTCCGTTCATAAGGTAATGCGATATTACATAGAAAATATTTTGGTTTTTATATTTTACTTTGGTTGAAGAAAAACAAATTTTATGTAGAAAATATAGAGCTGCTTAAAAGCTTAGTTGGCAACATGGTGGTAATAACTGTGTGCGCTCAACCATGGCAATACTTTTCTTATCTTTGGTCCCCTATTCAATTCCATCGCTGTTCTTCTTGTGTTTCTGCCAGCGGGTACATTTGCAAGTTGACGATAGTGCATCATCTTTTGGATGAGATGTTTGAGCCGTTGGTTACTGGTTCAATATAATAGCCCATGAACATACAATATCAAGCTAGCCAATCACTGCTAACGCAATTCTATGTAGAACACAACGCTCGCACAATTGATTGCTTTTCATGACGATCCATTTAGACTGCGTTGTCGTTTCGCCCTCACAAGAAGCTCGGCCAATGGTCGTACGGCCAACCAGATGGGCTGAAAATAATTATTTAGGCTTTCATTTAAAAAAATTCCAACCAAATATTGATTATAAATGTACAATATCTTTTAAATTCATACAACACCACAGACTGCCGGGATAAGTGGAAAAACTGAGTAGTTAAGGCAGTGGCGCTACAACCATAGTATCGGCACTGGTGTGAATGACACACCTGTCTACTGTATGGTTCTGGAGGTGGGACAACTCTTTTCAGATTAGGACTTCAAATCAAAATCAAATCAAATCAATCTTTATTTTCCAAAATAACAGAATGTATATTGGAAATTCGTCTTTAGATACAAACAAAAGCCTACCAAGAGAACAAATCGCACAATCAATAAAAAAGTACATAATCAAATTGTCAAAAAGTGACACAAATGAAGCTTCAAAAAGGCCTATATACAATTGATAAAAGATTATAAAAAAAAAATTGAATAAAGTTAAAATACAATTTAATGAAGATTAATTAATAAAAAATAGTTTATGAGAATATGATTAAAATTTACAGAGTAAAAAAATAAAACTTTATACCTGCTGTAGGTCCAGGGTAAACAATTGGCTCATGAGCACTGTAAACAAACCAATACATCTTTTGAGATGAGTAGGGGGGTTACCCCGGTGTCCTGGTTCATACAGCCCCCTGTTGTGGACAGACGAGTAGCTGGAACCAGTTTATTGGGTAGCTCTGACACTCTGGGAAAAAAGAAAATTTCTGTACAAGCTAGTCAACACTTTAAATGCTTTTGAGAATCTGTTGCTATATAACGCTATATAAATTTAACTATTATTAGATTAAAAGCATGGAATTTATTAGCATTGGGATCATAGGATCTTCTACACTGAAACGTCCGTTTTTACATACCGTAGTACACTTCCGAAAGATGTGATTTCTATAGATCACGCAACACTACTGTAGTGTATATACCAATTGTTATGTTCTTGTGAGTACCGGAGCTGTTATCAGTGCCCCACATCTAGTGTGGCAATGAGAATTCAAGGAGGCCTAACTAGTAAATCTAGTAAATGAACCATCTATTTTCAAGACTTGGAGGTAGCAGTACAAAAGCCTGTTTATACTTGCAACAATAACAATAAAAAGCTAAAAAGTAATTGTTCATATAGAAAATAGAAGAAATAATTGAAGTTTTTACACTGGGATGATTCGATAACGATTATAATTTTCATCAAAGACTATATTTTGGGGAAAAAAATTCTTGGTTTTCAAATTTATAACCGTATATCCTTTTTGATTATTTAATCATTTCAGACCGAAATGGGCAGTGAACCCTCACCCTCACAGAAGTTCAGTAAGCGAGTCAAGTCCGAGCCGGACTGCGCCTCGCCCTTTGCCGACCCGGAAACGGATACACTTGTGCGATTTTGAAGGGTGCAATAAAGTTTACACAAAAAGCTCACATCTCAAAGCCCACAGGCGAACTCATACAGGTAAGTTCAAACGACGCAGGGGCGGCACCAGGTTTGAAACCCTTAAATTGTCAAAATTTTCAGTGGCTTTGCCCCTGGACCACTTTCGAGCCCTTTTAATCAAAGCTCGACCACGCCCGCTTTGCTTTCATCGGGGAAGTCTGACCCCTCGTCGGGGGAATCGACCTGGTTGATGCCCAGGAGATGATAGTTTTCCACCATAGTTTAAGAATCAAGTGTCTAGAGGCATCTGTGATTTGTTAGGTGCTACAGTATATAAATACAGTTTTATTGTTATTAAATATTATAGTTATTATTGTTATAGTGAATAACGATACCACAATATATCAACTTCTCGACTCGTCCCTTTAGTAACCCATTCGCAAATAATCCCAGAGATATAATTTGAAGCTTTGTTGGGGGGAGGGGGTAATTTATTTATTTATATACAGTATTTATTTTGATAGGATTTATAGCACACATACAGTGTCCAGAAAACTGCTCAGGGGGATTTTTTTCCCCTGGTCATTGGATACAGAATCAATCATGTGCAACGTGGAACCTCCTCCACTCCCTTGGGAGTATTCCTAGCTATGCGTGTAATCGGCACTACTAATTTCATTCCGAATAATTCACCTCCTACCAGGTGCACATTTATACTCCTGGGTGAAGAGAGGCAAATGCAGATAAAGTGCCTTGCCCAAGGACACAAGCAGTGTGACAAGCATCGGTCTCGAACCCCCGACCTTTTGATTGAAAGTCCAACGCCTTGCATTTTGTGCCACACGCTTCTACATGCGTTATGGGTTTTCCTCAGCCACTTTGAGGTGTGCTGAAAAGTGGATTTTCCACCTTCTTCTGTGTAGGTCTTCACAACTGTGTTATAAATCGTGTTTACATTGCAAATTTTTTACATGTAGACTGATACCTAGTTAATTGACTATTTCAAGCATGATGTGACAGTGTGAATGCACCTTTACAAACTTGACAGCATGTAGGAAACACTGCATCTCTGTTATTGGTTGTAACAAGTCGCTTGTCCTGTCATTGAACCCCAGAGGAATGTTCACGTCAATAAAGCTATCAAGTGGCATCGTAGGATTATTGGACTATTCAATGCGCATAATTGCTAGACAGGAATTTGATTTGCATATCAAAATAATTAGTTAGAAGAAAAAAAACATGAAAGGTTTGATTCCTTCATGTAATGAATAATCCGAGTGTGAAATGATTGCTGGGGCTTAGTGGTTAGGTTGTCTGGAACCTGGGTTTTCTTATAAAAGAATAGGAGACTTTCTCCTGACTAAAATTAATATCGCTTCTATTTGTATTCAACCTTGTAAAATCCGAAGATCACAATAAAGCGTTTTCCATGTTTTTTTATTTGTTACTATATGCTGTGAAATCTTACCAGGTATCTCATTATACTCTTGAATAGGGACAAACGTGATAAAATGTCTTCCCCAAGGACACAAGCCCTTTAACACACAGACCCTCTGCTACGAGCGGTAATCATGTGACCTATTATAGTGGGTATATATTTAGTAAACAGACAGTGCCACTGACGCTTTGTTTAATATGAAAATGCGTGCCTTCTTCGTATTACTTTTACACATAGTTGATGTTGAATGTTGCGTGTAAAAGTAAAGTTGCGCCAGTGTACGCTATGGTCAAAGTTCATTAGTTTTCACTTTTGCAAGAGGGCGGCGTACACGGCGTTATTACAGAATTTGCACGCAGAAATCGCGGAGAATGCTATCTTGAATAAGAATTTTGGTTGTCTTTCATATTAATCGCACTGTTATCCCCACTATACATCACATGACCTTTACTGGTTATCTAATCCAATGTGAATGGGGCTTTATGAGAAAAAAAAAAAAAAAAACGAAATAATTGAACTAACAACCTTTGATTTGAAATGCAAAACCTTACCACTCTACCACTTTTACATGCATGGTGACATTATAAGATAGAATGTACAGTACAGTAACATCTCCCAATTATGAACCTATGAACCTCCCATGTTGAATTATTGCAAAAATGTGGAACAATAATGACAAAATATTATTATTGTTTATTTTTGGTAAATATTTCAGACGCTCCGAGTTTCTTTCCTATTTTCCTTTGTTCTTGTTATAACTTACGTTATTTTTGTAATTAACAGATTACTAATAGCTTACATTCACATTCATTAAATTATCTTAAAATTACACTTTTTGACGTTTTATTGGCCTATTATGTATACATTGTGTCTGTATTTAACATTTTTTAGTCAATGTCAATTTAAATTCAAAGGTATATCACTGGTACCGGACCCTTTTATGTTCACTCGGATATGCTTATCTTCATAAGACTACTTCTACGACGAGATACCTTGTTTGAAGCAAGAAATCAAGTTGTTTTTAATCAGTACCGCTCATATATTTTATTCGTGTGGGAATATTTTTAGCCTACACTCTGTTCTGACGGACGAGTATGTAATTGGAATATGTTACAGTATATTGAACTCTGTAAAATAATTACTTCTATTAAAACTCAAGTCAGATAATCTTTACATTGTTGTTCTCTAAAACCACATTATTTCAAACTGTCTGATAATCAAGGTCTTGATAAGTTATATTTCCTTGTTATAATTGGCGAACATAATAGCTTAAGTTCACATCCTAAATTTTTCATAAGCCCAATGTACTTTTTGAGATGGTTTAAAGTGATAAGATAGACTGTTAAGTTGTAAACAATACACAAAACAAATTATACCTAAGAGATTTCAATTCACGTTTCTATTCAGAATTGAATATGGCTAGGTACCATGCATTTGTGGTTTTTATTGTCCCTCATAAATGTAAAATTATTTTAAGGTTGAGGTGCTTTTATATCATTCCAGGGTGGTTTAGTGCATCACCGATTTTCTACAATTCAAAATCCCAAAGCACACTCAGTGTTTAATGATTTCTTATAGTTTAGTTATATAAGGTTTTTTTTTTTATGAACACAGTATAGGTCAGTAGGTATAGAATAGAAAAAAGCAATGAGATGATTGTAATATAATTCATATATATTCGCCTCTTTTCTGTTGTATCTCTGTTGTTGTATCTCCAGATGCTGTTGTTGTATCTCCAGATGCGATATAATGCAGATAAGTCATAAAAAACGTTGGAATGTTGTATTTTACTTTTTTTTGTTAAAGAGGGCCCCTAAATATTTGCCGACCTTCTTGGCTCAACTGGAAGGGTCACCCTCTGTACATTTCGCTTGTGTCCGTGAGCAAGGCACTTTATCTGCATTGCTTCTTTCCACCCAGGAGTATAAATGGGTACATGGTGGGGTTGCTTGCACATGCGCTGATTACAGCAACAATACTTAAGCATGTGGATCCAATGACCAGGGACGGAAGTGCTTCATATTTGCAAAGAAAGG